ATTGTTGATTTGCTGAAGGGCTAATTGGAATATTAATTTGATAAATCTTCATAATCAAAAACAGTATTTGCTGTCCATACAGTAGCCTACAGGGCATTAAGACCTTCTTAATGCATTTAAGATGCGTCTTTCCACAAGTAGTGTTTTTGTTTGTGGGTATAATGCAGGGTGGGTCTGAAGTTTGAGTTTTCTGCAGGTACGATCATTTTTTAAGCCTGACATGTATGATCAAAGCAAGTCAGGGCCGATCTTATAATGGAGTTGATATGCAAATGTTTTAACCTCCTGATTTGGATATTTCTGCAAAATATTTAGTGTCATCAAAATGTTTAATCAAATTATGACCTTTAGTGACATTTTGGGTGGTCATAGCTCCCTCTGATGTCACACCGCTGATGAGTGTAGAGATGACAACCAGGAAGGAAAGAAAAAGGGACTCTAGAGACTCAAGGTAGTAAACTTCAGACGCACAATGCAGTACCGGAGAGATTCAGACGTTCTTTGAATTTCCTGTTGTTGTTAAGCCTATGAAAATAGTCAGGCAGTAGAAACTGAACCGGCAAACTGCACACACCTGAGTGACCATGGCAACAGTGTCTGCTACAGCGATTGCAGATGTGTTGTTTCAAGCCTTTTCTTTTTTAAATGGAGTCTTACTCTAGTGAAGATAAAATGATTTTTATGTTATTGTTTATTATTATTTTAGTACATACACAAAGGAAAATGACTATTCATTTAGTAGTCATGTGTCTCACTTTGATTGATTAAATGTTTACATCCTTAGCACATTGTGCCAAAGTTCCTCCCTATTTTCTCTTTATGAGGAAGAATGAAATGGAAGAAAAATTCTTTGGAAATGAGTCACAGTGAACTCATTCACTGTCTGACAAATATTGCCTCTGGTATGTTTTGTAGGCCATTCTTTCTAGTCTCACTTCCACCTGTAGGACATGCCAGAGGGAAGGAGCCCTTTGAGCTGCTGATCTACTGTCAGTTTTATCATCGATGTGGGGAACAAAGGTTTCCCTTCATTGAGGATTTCAGTTTGTGGGTATTTTGAACTTTTGAAACGGATCAAAACAATCATTCAAAGAGAGGAAATGTATCACCTGTATAAGCATCAAAAGAGGGCGTATGACTGAACACCAGTCAGCCAACAAGACTGTCCTCCCCTCTGAGCCTGCAGGACTTCATTCATACTCCCTCTGAGTTGGTGGGCAACAATTAAAGGATGGTGTTTAATCTGAGAGGATAAGTGAAGGTGAAGTTTTTCTGCTTTTTCACTTATGTCATGATTCATGCTAACCAGGGGGATGTCTTTTCCCTGCAGCCCACCTCACATCCCGCCTGAGGATGAAGGAGGACAAGAACAGCCCTTTCTCATAACGTGAGAAGCCCCGTCGAGACATACAGCTCAGGACTGCTTAAGCTTCTCCATCTTTTGCTCAGAGTGGCAGCAGCAGTGTCTCACGAGGGGCTTAACATGCACTTAAGACACTATACTGTACGAGTCTCATCAACCAGTAACGACTGGTAAAACACAAACGGTAATCAAAAGGGTTGAGCATGAATTAATGAGGTAATAATGTGTTTTCTAACAGGAATGTGGATCATTGAATGTCGGTGGTGGGTGAAATGGCACGAGGCAGTCACACATGTAAAAGTGTATATTTTTGTATATACCTACATCAGTGTGTGTACAGTATGTACATATATACACAGTGTACTCAGCTGCAGTTCCTAGTTTTGTTGTCTGACTGTACAGCGCTTCTAACTGTTCCCTGTTTTATAGATACTGCAGAAAATTCAACTTTGAATGAGGAGAAATGATTAACTTAAATAAATGCATTTATATATATAAACTTAACCTTGTTGAGTAAGTTTGTCTGCCTCCATGTTTGTCTGTACAATCTAACAGAGCATGCCCGTGTCGAGAATATCTTGATGTTTCTGCAGTTTCCACAGATGGACAGTGAAGGATCTGCAACAGCCTCCTTTGTACAAGACAATATTGAAGCCAAACGTGAATTTTACATCTTCTGAAACTTTAATATGTAAAAAGGGGGGTTTCTATCTGTCAGTCAAATGTTGTACCTGTATTTAATCCTATATTTGTAGAACTGCAGCCACACCTCAAACCACACATATGCTGTGTTATGAGAAAGCATTTTAGGCAATACTAAACAAACTTCCCTCTAGATATTGGTTTAAACATGGTGACATCTGGTTGTCATAACAACATAATACATAAAAACAATAAGGTTGTCTGGAAAGACTATTTCCAGTTTTTGCAGGCCTGAGAGCTGCCTCGATATGAACTAAGCCTCCAGTATCAGAACAATGCAGATGGATCAAATCTCCCCCAGCTGAGACAGGGTACTGGGGCAAACACAATATGGTTAATGAAGTGACACTTTCAGAGAGCTGGCTGTGTATTACATGGGCAGCAAACTGAGGCAATTCCTTTTTTTCCAAAATTACATTTTGGACTAAGCACAACATTTGGTCAATACTGTTGAAGTAATTTCTTCTTCTCTGAATCCACAACATGAAAAACAAAACTATTCACACTTCTGTATGTGTTAGGCCAGGGGTGGGCAACTGGCGGCCCCCATCAACCCTCAACGTGGCCCTCAGGTCAATTTTTACATATCAATTAATTGGAAACATGAAGAAAACATGGCAAAATCTGCCATGAAATCATGAAAACCAGAAATATGTCCATAGTAATATTTGATCACTGGTATATGTTGAGTTAAATTTGAGACATAATTGACTGTAACTGTTTTTTGTATGCTACAATTTGGCCCTCTGGCAGTCAGAATTAAATGAATGTGGCTCTTGCTGTGAACAAAGTTGCCCATCCTTGTGTTAGACCAAATTCTCAAATCATGAATGTGCTGCTAAAATTCTTTAGGAAGTTTTCTTTAGAAGCTGGCTGCAGAGATTTACTCCTCTATGTAGGAATTACTTTGAAGTCTCGTCCTGATGTTGGGTGAAAGGGCCCGGGTCCACAATCACTTGTCAAGCATATGTAAACAGACTTTACTTATAGAGCAGTTTTCTAGTCCTCTGACCACTCAGAGTGCTTTTAAACTCCATGTCACACTCACCCATTCATATACACATTCATACACTGATGGCAGAGGATGCCCTTCAGTATTAACTCATCCATGTAGCGCTGGCTGTGTCACGGGTCAATTTGAGGTCAGTGTCTTGCTCATGGACTCTTTGACATTTCCATGAACTAACCTACAGATTGAGAGATGACCAATTCTACCACTGAGCTACAGCCACTCTCGTCCCAAAGGTTTTGGAGAAGTCTAAATTCATTTCTTAATAGGCTTGGCTTCACATTTGGAGGACTTTCCTCTGACTTTTCCACACATGAGCATTGTGTGGAAGTTTATCATTTTCTGAATTGTCCTTATATGCCATAAAGGGTAAGACTTTCTTTTAGTTGGACCTAAGAGTTTAACCTAAACCACTAAAACAGCCTTTAGACTATGTATAACTAAATGTATTGTACAGAAGGGCATTATGCTGATATTGCTGCTGGAGCCTGCATATCTATTTATTAACATCTATGTCAGTTTGCCTACTAAAAATACATAATGCTCCTTCAAATCATATGCAGTAAATGCTATGTTAAGCTAATCAAATGTAATCAAGCATAACTATTGACACTGATGTGTAAGCAGGTTAGTCAGAAACTGTATAGAAATAATTAACAAAAACATTGTCTACAATTTAGTGGGGTTTTTTGTTGCCGTTATCTGTAGTAGAGTATATGCCACTATTAAAGTAAATTCAAGTGTCCATAATGCAGAATGACCCATTAGGTGTTGCATAATTAAATGTAATACATGATGCATTTATTTGTGCATATTAGTGTTAATTATTTTCTACATTTATTTAACTTACAATAAAGCTGTTCACCCCTTTATCAGCTGAATATGGAGAAGCAGAAATTGGAAATACAGTAGACCCTGTACCTAGATAGTAGACGCTACATAATGGGACTTTTCTTCAAAATCAATTCAAAATCATACTTAAGTGTAGTACTTAAGTAATTGTATTTGTTTACTTTTCATCCCTAAATAGAACAAACAATTTTATTTTACAATAACAGCATACTTTCAAGATAAGTTAAAGCTTTTTTGACCACTCACAGGTAAATAAACGGCTCCATATCGTATATATATGGTAAATAAGAAATAGCTGCACCTTTACCATGCATGAATACATATTAAACCATATAAATGAATGGTTCGGAAAAGTGTCATTCTGTATAACTAGTAGCTTTACTGATATAAATATTTTGCTTTAGTCAAGTTTTTAATGCAACACTTAACAGTGTGGTGCAGCATCTTTCCTTCAGTCATATTTACCTTTAATACCATTTGTAATGTACGGTGGCTGATAAGTGCAAAGCAAAATTACAAATGTGAGACAAATTTACATTTTGAAAAACCTTTTTACATTTTTAGAAAACAAAATTACAAAACCAAAACACTTATACCAAGGAAAAAACACATTTATGGAAACACTTTTACAATCTCCAAACAAATTTACAAACGACAGAATCTTGACAAAATGTGAATGTACCAAATGTCGGAAGTGACCCAGAAGTGATCGAGTGAGGGGTCATTTTGTTTGTTTTGTTTTGTACATTCCCTTTCTGTCAAGATTCTGTCGTTTGTAAATTTGTTTGGGGACTGGTAAAAGTGTTCTGCCTCTTGTAAATTTGTCTCAGCGGTTGTAAAAGTGTTTCACATCTTGTAAATTTGTTTTGTCCTTGGTAAGTGTTTTTGGTTTTGTAATTTTGTTTCATAAAATGTAAAAATGTTTTTTTCAAAATGTAAATTTGTCTCACATTTTGTAAAAGTGTTTAACACTTTGTAATCTTGCTTTACACTTCCCAGCCACCGTAGCAATGCACTGTATTGCATGTGTTTTGTTGTCGCCCGTCCAGCAGGGGGCGATAAAAGCCACACACCTCAAACAGAGGACTGCAGAGGAAGACGGAGCTCTGGCAGGCAGAAGCTGATTACAGCACCGAGCAGACCCAGGTGGTGGTGACCGACTGAAGAACCAGAAGAAACCATGAAGAACGAAGGTATCGAGGGGTCGGAGAGGTTCCTGAGCCCGGACAAAGGCAGAGGCCTGCGGGCGGTGAGGCACTTCGCGGTGGGGGAGCTGGTGTTCGCCTGCCCTGCTTACTCCTACGTGTTGACAGTGAATGAGAGAGGAGCCCACTGTGAGCATTGCTTCACCAGGTAACAGCTCACCTACCTGTGCGAAACAGATAACCTGCGACAACTGTCATCTTATTATTTGCATATGCAGCTAAAACCAAAGTGTGGGTCCGTTCAGTTCATGTGTGCTAACTTCTCTACCTAGCTATGTTAGCCTGTAAACCTCTGGACACGCTCCTAGCTGCTGCTGGCTTTATGGGTCAGTGCGGAGAGGCAGCTCACCTGACTGACACTGCAGCATTTATTAGTAGCAATGCAGATTTAGGGGAGTCTTAACATCATTGCCTACATTAAGGTTAAAGATCCTTATGTAAGTTTATTGTATAAGCATGTTTACATGCAGCTTTAAATGACAACTTGACCCTTTCTTTATGTTATAGTGAGACATTTCTGCATGTGACTCTCTGTTCCTTAAAGGAAGCCTCGATCTATCTGAACACCCTACATATACGCGTTATGCCCATGCTTTTCCTCAGTATTAAGACATGAATAAGATCTATTTCTTTCCCAGTAAGGGTGTGTAGGATGTGGAGTGGTTTGAAAGATCTGCCTGGTACATTCATAGAGTATTGACATGTGTGGGTGTGTGTGGGCATGCTGTGTCGAAAACTTGCAGGAAGTTTAAAATGGGTGTTAAAAATGTGACTTAGCCCTGTAACTTACTTGTCATGTCATGTTGAAATGTCTGATGCCACAAATGGCACACTCTTTGAGAAACCTATTAAAGTCAATTTAACTCTTAGTCTGTCTCTGTTACCCAATCATTTCCATGTCCTGGCAAAGCTGCCCCTCAGGTTTGTAGAGCAGTTAAAGGTTAAGGTGCTAAATATAGTTGCCCATTTGTCCCAAGAGAGGAGGAGCGTGTGTGTGTGTGTCTTCATAAAGTTGTAAAAAAATTAGTAAGAGAAACTACTTTATGTTAGTTTCCCTTGCTCTAATAGTTTCTTTAATTGCCTGTGTTTTACAAAATCACCCTTGAATAAAATTTGACTTAAGTTGTATGTGCAATTTATTTTGAATTTAATTGAAAAAACATTTAATGCATCTAATGAAACAATATGAGTGAAACAAACTTCTGTTGGTTTTGTAGCTGATGTGTTTGCATAGCACCTTTTTTGTCACATGTCTATATCAAACCTGCTTTAAAACCTCAGTCAGTATGCATTTAATCATGATGAAGTACCAACATGTGGTTAGTAAAAAGATTTAATTTAATTCTACAATGCATCAGGTAAGGAGATCACTTTAGAAGAAGCCGCACAATGTTTTATTTCATGCACATGTTACGTTGAATCCTGCAAACAAAATGTCACTTAACACAGCAGTAGTGGAATGAAGTGATTTGTTTTATGCATTACAGGCGAGAAGACCTTTCTAAATGCGGGAAATGTAAATTGGCGCACTACTGCAACGTGGACTGTCAGGTGAGACTGCTTCCTGCTTCCCTTTTTAGTTTTTTCTTGGAGGGCGCATCGTTTCTGTGGGTAAGGAACTGACTGAATGTGTGGTCCAAAAATATCTCTCCTCCACATTTGTTTTAGCCTTTTGTGTGAACACATGCAACGAGAGAGGCATGTTTCAGGGGTACACTGCACCCATAATCCACCCTTTGTCCTTGGACCACCACGGCAGTGCACAAGAAACAGAAAGAGGACTCGCTCGCACTGCTGTTGCTATGACAATCTAGCCTTTCCTCCCTTGTCCTATGTCGAGTTACACTTTTGTGGAGCAAAAACATAAACTCAGTGCTCAGCAGTAAAACTGAGGAGTTGATTTGTGTGTGAGGAGAGAAACTGGGATTTAAATGCCTCAGGGAATCATTTATGGATCATTTGCTGTTTGAAAATAAAATAGTTATTAATATGTTTTTGTCACAAAGTCGAGCTCTTTCACTTTCTATGTTGGGCCTTTCATTCTTTTTTTTTCATGCTGTTAAATGTGATGGAGGGTAACTAACTAATTGATGTTATTTCTGTCTTCCTTTCTCTCTCTGGGAATGAACAGAGAAGTGATTGGCCCATGCATAAGCTGGAGTGTGTAGCTATGGTTGCCTATGGAGATAACTGGTGTCCATCAGAGACTGTCAGACTGGTGGCCAGGATTATTATGAAACAGGTAAAATGTTCTAAGTAGTCCCAGTTGATATGTTTCAATGTTCAGAAGTGTCCTCCTAATTTGGAGCATTGTGGATTTGAACATAAACATGGAGTTATAATTGAGATCACATCACAGATTGTCTTCATATCATAAGAAACCTGAAAAAGCACTAAGAGAAGGCTTCTGACACAACTAGGAAAATAAATATGACTTTATATTTAAACTTGTGTAACACTAACTGACATTAAAAAAAGAAATCACAGTCTGTAAATATAAAATCAATATTCTTTCTGATCAGGTGTAAGTATTAACATTAAGTGTTTCACTTTACTAAGATGTGCTGATTCCAGGTATCTCTGCCTCACTGACACTTCTACAGAGACTTCAGGAATCAGTAATGATTCTAGCTAGGCCTGCCATTACGAGTTGAAGGGAAACTCAAAAGACAAGACTATACTTGAGAGCTCATGGATGAAAGGAGCCATGTGAGGATGCCAATTTAAGAAAGTTTAAATACAGTTAAAACAAGATAAAGATGTATTTTGTGAGCTACATGATACTTATGTCATAGACCGACTGTGAGCTGTCGCAGCTGCAGTAAGACAACTCAAGTGATATCAGTTTTAATTCTAGACCTCTGTGTGAGAACTTAAGAAGAAGGTTGTCCTGCTTTTTTCTTTTATCTATTGTACTTCTGAACGGTTAGTTATTGAGAATAATGTCATTTCTCATTGAACACAAACATTCAAATCATAGCATACTGTACTTCTGAGCTGTTAAATAAGCATGTTGTGTTCTCATTTTTCCTCACTCTTCAAATTAAAGTAGCTAAAGCAAGAACTGCCATTATATCGTCATCCTCTGCTGCTTTTGACTCATTATTGTGTGAAACTGACTTTGTTATTAGCCAGAAAGTCTGAAACTTAACCATCTGCTTGGATAACTAATGTATTGGAAAAGGAAAAAAAGATTTTTATATTTAGTTTGTTTTTGCATGATTTACTTTTTGCACAAAAATAATCTCATGGGTCTGTACTGTGTTTCATCCTGCAGAGAGTCACAACAGAACGCGACCCTTCAGAGAGGCTGCTCCTGCTCAAAGAGTTTGAATCACGTAAGCAGAAGTCTGTGAGTGTGTGTGTGCGCATGTAAGAATACACGATTGTGTGTAGGTAGTTACATCTGTGAGCAATGTTAGTTACATCCAAGAAGAGAGTGTGTGTGTGTGTGGTGTCGTAGCAGTGTGTCTATTAATATCCTCAGCTGTAGCCTCCAGTCCTGGTTCTGTCTCTTTTCATTCACTCCAAATGTGCAGTGTGCTGGGACCTAAATCCCAAGCTTCTGTGTGCTGTAATTTCATCATCTCCTCCTTCGTTTAAAAAAACACTTCCATTGTGCTCTTGAAAAAACAAAACCTTCGCTCTCTTTTTTGTGATTGTACTGGGAAGCTATAAGGTTTCAGCAGATGTTCTCCTCATGTTTAATTACAACCTTGTAGTGTCCTCTGTTTTGCTTCTGTGTTGGTTTAGATGATATCAAACTCAACTTTGGTGTTCATGTTGTTATTTCATGAAGTCATTTGTATAGGATGAAGCTACTCACAGAAATCCTGACCACACACTTTCATAATGACTGTGATGTATTGGTCCAAAACAACAAACTGGGACTTCAAACTGTTTTTTTGTGCTCCACGTGGTAATACCATTTAGTCTGAGCTGTTGTTGCAGGCTCAGATGTGTCATCAGAGGATTGACACAGAATTAACCTTCACACCTGTCTCTCATGCACACAAAGCAACTCAGTAGCCAGCTGCTGCATGGTGCCTCGTGTGTGTGTTAGTGTGATTGACCACAACACATGGCTTAATGCATACACTTTCCTAATACTGACTACTCGACAGAAACAGTGCTGTGAAAAGGAATTTCCCCATGGGGACTCTAAAGTCTTCTACTGGGAAGCCCTGTGACAAATTATTAAAAAGAAATCTTGTAGGACATAAATAAAACCTAAACAGATATTTTTTGGCTGCTGTGGCTCAGTGGTCATTCTTTAGTTGGATGGTTGGCGTTAAATCTCACCTTCTGTAGACCACATGTCCAAGTATCCTTGAGCAAATAATTCTTGGTGGCATCAACATGGTCGTGTGACTGTGTGTGGAAGGGACTGGTTAATGGTTCCTCAGAATCCTCTGCCGTCCGTGTGTGAATGTGACATGTAGTGTAAAAGTGCTTTGAGTGGTCAGAAAACTTGAAAAGTGCTACATAAGCACAAGTTTAACTCCATATTTGAACCATTTACAGTAAATTAATCCCCTATCACATTCTATTTATCTGTTTCTTGAAGCCCTGTTGATACATGATGATGTAGTGCTTTCTAACCTTTCCCTCCAGGGCTAATAACTGAGTGGAAAGTGCCGGCCTAAACAAAAATGAAAACTGAAGACAAATGCATTTTTGTCTCACAGTTAGAGTCAAGTTAGTCCTGTGTTCGAGAAGTGAAACACTCTAAATGTTATCTCCTTTGGAGTGTGACTTTATTCAGTAATCCTTCTGACATGTCTGACCTTTTGATTTTGAGATTTGTTAATTGGTCACAGAAGAGGAAGTCACACTTAAAGTGTATCCTCAGGTCATTAGGACTGCCCCGTAACTACCACTATAATGATGCTTCAAACCCAAACTGAATCCTGATGGTCTTTTAATGAGTGTCTAGTTGATATTATTGACCTTCTCTCCATTTATTTTTGATTATCTTTCTTTTTTTTGTCCCCACTATTCTCCTCCGGCTTCCAGATTTAGATAAGATGGACAGTGAGAAGGACGAGATGAACCAGGCCGACATAGCAGCGCTGCATCACTTCTACTCCAGACACATTAGCAAGATCCCTGACGACCAGGCTCTCACTGAGCTCTTTGCACAGGTATACACACTAATACTAATTTACCAGAGTTGAATCTGATCATAGGATCTCCAGGTTTAATTTGTAGAGTCATCAGAGTAGTCTGTACTGTGTGGGATCCCCGCTCATCAAAACCACATGGATCATCTCTGTTTTGACTACAGGCATTAAAACTTCTCCACTAGGAGAACAAGGCTACTTACAAACCTTAACTTTGTGGCTCTGCATGCGCCTAAATGGTGTGGACCGCTTTTTCTTGAGCACTGAAAATTGCAGACTTTTTTTCATATGAATATGTAGTCAAGAGTACAAACAGGGGACCATACATGACATGCCCTTCTCAGTCACATGATAAACGATGTTATAGTTTCTGACTCTGTCTCTACCAGGATCTTTGGTAGGGTGTGTTCATTAACTGTCATATGATTAGATAGGAAAGCATCAGACGTTTGGCTTACACACAGACAGGTGTTGACCTTTTAGGATGTGTGTAACGACATGCTAGCTAGAGGTTGCAACATTCATAAAAAACAGAAAATATTTAGATGCATCATGTGCAAATGTAGTACTTTTTAACTCCTGTCTCCAGCTGCTCTGCATACTACAGGATCTGTATCACACACACCCACCTGTCCTGTTTGTGTTACTCCAGTGTTTAGCTCTTTAATCTGATCAGTCTGTCAGTGCTGCAGAGTGTTACTACACAGGTGAGTGAGGGTGTAATGCAATCTAAATGAGCATATGACTCCCCCTGCTGTTCTCTGTGCCTCCCTCTCTCTGATTGTGTGTCTTCCCTTCCTTTTTTGGGTTGCTCTGCCCCTCCCTCTCCCCCTCCAGGTTAACTGTAATGGTTTTACCATAGAGGATGAGGAGCTCTCACATCTCGGATCAGCTGTTTTTCCTGAGTAAGTAGTCCATGTCAACTCATCATCAAGCAACAGTCCGTTTATTTATCAGAGTTTTAAACTCTGCGTCAATATTGGAAAAGACACTCATTTGTTACGCTTTTTTTTTTTTACATAACTGCATTCAATAATAATTTAAGGTGTTGTCTTTCCTTTATTATCATAAATGTTTCTTGTAAATTTGGAAAATAACATCCCCATGATAATTATTTTCTCACTGATTCAGATCCCTTCCCCTATGTATCTCACAAATCACCTTTTTCCAGTGTGATTAAACAACTAAAATACAAATTGTACTTTAACAGCTGGGGTCAATATTACAAACCCTGTATAGAATAGAAGTTTATTTATAAAGCACATTTCATTACAGGGAAGCTCAATGTGCTTTAGGTGTTGTATGGAAACACCTAAAGCACATTTTCTTCTCTTGTTTTTTAATTGGTGGGATTTTTCTTAGTATAACTAACAATTTGATAACTCTGGCAAAAGTTAGATTTTCCTCTAGCACTAAAATGTTGTTGTTTACTGTTGTCACAAGATGAATAACCTAAAATCTGTTCCTCTTGGCTGCTCTTAAGCAGTAGTGGGAAGTGGCAGCCATAAGTAATTCATGATGGAAGCAAAACTCTAAGCTGCGTCTGGTTTCAGCCCAGTTCAACCTGCTGGTTATGCTTCTGTTTTTGAGCAGTGAAAAGGAGTTGATTCCATATTGATGGTTATATCAGAGGCATACTGGCATCACTATTATAACAACCTTTATTTGAGTGTTTGCCACCCTAGATGTTTTAACTCGCTAATGATTAACCTGTTAGGCACCATTATGGTTAGTGTGTAGGAAGAGGAACAGGCAGCTGGAGTAAAGCCATAATATGCATTTTCTTCTTGCACTGATTCCTAACCATTAGAAATTGTTTGCGATAAGGCAATTGCAAAATGACAATTGGGTCGTCTGTGGTGGTTTACTGCCTGATCAATCTGTGCGTTAAAGCAACATCAGTTCACAAGTCTTCATATAAGAGCTAGACAAAAAGTTCTGAATGCAGTTGATCTTCTCCACCAATTAAAAGTACAATGATATAAATTCAAACCATTTGTTTGAGGTTGCAGGCAGGGACGCACATCATTTTTTTTCTGGCAAATTTATTCCTTTGGGCTGCTAGTATGGATTATCCTGCCCTCAATGTGCACAACACGCACACCTGCATATCAGTCCAACAGTTAGCCACCGACTGTGCATATATGTAAAGGCAATAGTTTGGTTGAGGGCGACTGAAAGATTTGTAAATATATCCCATCCCTATTATACATAAGCCTTCATGAAGTCCCAACATGAATATTTTTCTGAAGCATTGTTGTTTCCCTCCTTTCCTCCGTCCAGTGTAGCACTGATGAACCACAGCTGTAGTCCTAACGTTATAGTGACTTATAAAGGCACAGTGGCTGAGGTCAGAGCTGTTCAAGAGATAAACCCCGGAGACGAGGTAAGTACACACCAGACTCATTTATCAACAAAGATGCTTTTCATTGTCATCAAGAATTTGATGACTTTCATAGTTTTTTTGACATGAATTGAGCTCCCTCTCTCTGTCCCTCTCTGCAGGTGTTTAACAGTTACATAGATCTGCTCTATCCGACAGAGGACAGGAGAGAAAGGTTGTTAGATTCCTACTTCTTCTCATGCCAGTGTACCGAGTGCACCACCAAGTCTAAGGTACCACACCATGTCTCTTAAAAGTTAGCCATCTTCAGGACCTTTTCTTAGATTCCGTATTTTAATTGTGAGATTATTGTGTGGTTTAACTTCTTTATTGTTTGTGCTTTGTGTTGAAAACATCAGATAGTATTTTGTACACCAAATTTTTTTGCACATTTTCTATTTGTGCATGACTGAATTTTTGAGGACTTTTATTGTATTTTAAATCAACTGTATTCCTATTTCAATGAACCATAGTCCTACAGACATCCCGATGTGTTTTATTTGACAGATTAATGTAGAATACTCTGTGTTTACATTGATGATGTTTGATATAGCTCAGTTGATGATTTTTATTTGTGTATGAGAGCATCATTTGTTTTATATTTTAACTTACTATAATATGTGTCAGTAGATGTTTGTTTCTGGCTTTATTCTCATTGTGCACTGCGTAGAGGGTAAAAAAGTCTTTATCAAAATTGAGTTGATTTATTTTGACATGTTTTCCGGTGTCTTTGAGTATGTTTGATGTTGTAAATATTCCAGTGAGAGTATGCCGCATGCTGGTTAGAATAAATGTGTGAAGATGGGATGTGACTTTTTATAACTCCTTCATTTCTTTTGCAGTTTATGTAATAGTTCAACTGATTCCTTTGTCATTTCTCCCCATCTCTTTTAAAGGACAATGAAAAAATGGAAATCAGGAAGCTGAGTTCTCTACCGGAGCCGGAAGAAATCCGATCCATGGTCCGTTATGCCAAAAATGTCATTGAGGAGTTCAGGAGAGCCAAACACTACAAAAATATCCTTTCTCTCTGTACTACTTGTTGTGTCTGATTGGAGGTCTTCTCCTGCTCGGTCCGTCCTTCTCTTTCTCTGTGTTGTTTGTGTATTTATTCCTTGACTCTGTGGCACCCCCCAGTGAGCTGCTGGAGATGTGTGAGCTCAGCCAGGAGAAGATGGGATCTATATTTGCAGACACCAATGTCTACATGCTGCACATGATGTATCAGTCCATGGGTGTCTGCCTCTACATGCAGGACTGGGACGGGGCTATGAGCTACGGAGAGAAGATCGTTCACCCATACAGGTAAACTGATCTGTAGAGAGCCGTTCACTTATCGCTCAGTGAACTAGCGCGATCTTGAAGAGTAAACTAGTGGACTAGGCCCGGACGCATGGTTTTGATGTCACACCTGTTTTGTTACTAGATATGGTCGAGACCGTTTTTCAAGGCAAAGTTCTTCTAATAATCTGGAATTTGATTCATTTTAAGTGATTACATCCTGTTTGTAAAATGTTTATTGCTTTTCAAATTTGACAAAAGACAGATTGAATTGTATCCAAATAAGTGGATATATTTTCTACCTACAGTAGAGTATAAACAAAGAAAAAAACATTCATATTTAGCTCTTGTATTGAAATTTCAACCCTGATGATGCTAAACTGTGAACCTTGTGCACATTTGTTGATATGATGTTAATTCTGCATTTGCTTTTGTTTTAGTTGCATTAATGGCTTACTTTGTTGTGTTATTTATAAATGATTTTTTTCTCCAGTGTTCACTACCCAGCTTACTCTCTGAATGTGGCGTCTATGTATCTGAAACTGGGACGTCTGTATTTGGGTCTGGAGAAGAAGACGCACGGAGTGAAAGCTCTGAAGAAGGTATGCTGCTCAATCTGTATCTTTCCAGATGATACACTAAAAGTTGAAACATTGGGGGATCTGAAGATGTGGGAACAATGAGGAATAACAATGTAGTGGAAGATAATTGATCTATAAAAGGCTATTTCAGAATAATGTGAAATGTAGAGATATTTATTTTAGAAGTTGATGTGTCCTACGCTGAACTTGAATGTGTCTGTTAATTGTCTGTCAAAACTCTGTTTTTATGTACTCAGGCACTTGCTATCATGGAGGTGGCTCATGGTAAAGATCACCATTATGTAGCTGAAGTCAAACGAGAGATCGAGGAGCAGAAGTAACGGAAGAGCAGCAGGAGGAGCAAAAAAAAAAGCAACAACAAAAACACGTCACAACTGCATGCCATGCATCCTATACCTCTCTGTTTCTTGTCGCCCATTCTGTTGTTTTTTTTAGGCAGTGTCTTTTGTTTTATGTCCAACATCAACATATTCTGGCTGAGGAAAACCTTGTTTCTATCTGCAGCCGATGACATCCTGTCAAACCTGAAGATAATGTTTGGAATGAAGGTCAATCAACACTCATGCTGTAAATCAAAAAAAGGGTCACATCAGTGTGAAACAGAAAAGTTTAATTCTGCCTTTAAAACTGCCCTTCAGATGAAACAAAGTTTTCATGTGACAGCAGCTTACACGACCTCTGTGTTCACACTTTGCCAAGCGTTCCTTCCCCTCTGTCCGTGTTCTGTATACCCATCGAGACATCGTGTTGTACCACTGTTTGTCTTTGGCAGCTGTGTTAACTGCACCTGTGCTCCACAGCAGCAGCAGTTTGTTGTTTTTACTTCTATAAAAACTGGTGAGTGGTTGTTAGAGAGGGCATTACTACTTATCCACTGCTAATGCATTTGAACTCTACCAAAAAATTAGCAACAGAGCTTCTAGCTTCATTGATTATTGGTTAAACTGTGAAAAAGAATTGACTGACCATGCATCAGGTACTCTGTAGCAAGAACATGCAAACAACTATTCCTCAATGAATAAGCACTGCTTAGCTTGTCTTACACTATGTTTTGCTTGTTGTCAAAGAATAAGAAGAATTGTTACAATGTGTTTTTGTTTATGTTGTCTTTGTTTTTCCATGAGGCTTGTTGACCAAAAGGGCCACAGGCTTAACAAGGAACCAGCTACTAAACTCTCTTGAGAGTGTATCCTTCACCAGGGGAGCCCTTCTGAGACCAGTTTGTATTTCAAGTCACGGTAAAGACGTTGGTGCTACGACCTGATGGAATTTTTTGCTCTCAGGAAAAAAAAAGGGCAATTCTGTAGCTTTCATTGCTTTTGGTCAAGAGCTGCTTCATAAACCTTTGCAGTGCGTTCTCTGCAGACTCCTGAGTCCAGGTTGTTTTTGCTCAGCAAAGACTCCACTTTGGCAGCAGTGGGAAGATTATTTACTTGTTAATTATCCTCATCATACATTTCAAATTTCTCAAGAAGAGTGAATGAAATATTTCTTAAGAAGAAAGAACTGCATCTCTTTCATTTTTAAGTGCAAAGATCTTGTTGGACTCTTCCAAATTAAATTGTGAGATGATATTAAGTTTTACCAACATGGCATTTTATGCATGCATTGACTTAAGCAAGAATGAAAGTACCGACCTGCAGCTCCTTTCCCGCATGTCATTCCCCCTCTCTCTCCCCGATTTCTGACTCTATTCTCTGTCCTATCTCTACATAAAGGCATAAAATCCACAAAATAAACTGTAAAAGGTGCCCAAAAAGGGACAGGCAGTATCAGTGATACAGTAGGTTGTTTGATTAATAAGGTGGGTTGGGTAAAAATACGAGCATGTTTTTTTGATTAACTCGATCCTTAAATCATGAGCAGGATACTCAGTTACAGCTCCAGCAATCGGTTGTGTCTCCCTCCTGCAGATTTAATCATAGAAGAAATGGTACACTAATATCTGTTGTTACACTTTCACATCTGTAGACTGAGTCACAGTGTGTGAAAGATGAGTAACACAGTAAAGTGAAGGGAATGCCAAGTTCATCACTAGGGAGTTTATACTGCACTCAAATTTTGTACAGTTTTTATGATAAAAATGATGTCAAAATGTCTGACCTGTAAGCACATTTGATTTCATTTAGATCTATCTGTCACTGGACAGTTGGCCTGCCTTCAGATATCATGCAATGCACCGTCGGAAGAACAAAAGGCACGGGTCTAATTCCTTTACTTTGATGCCTGTAGCTTTTTCTCTTTTATTATGGATGCAACAATATGAACCAAGTTATTCTGAGTTACTGAGGGTTAGAAAAAGCCCATTGTTAATAATGACCAGTGGTCATCTTTGTAGCGACTCCTGCTTTATAACTCTTTATTTCCCCTGCACATATGCATCAAGAGGGCGGCTGCAGTATGTGTGAGCAACAACTCTGGTCGAAATGTTTATTCTTGGACATGTTTATTTGAAACAGATTGAAAACAGAGGATTGAATAAGCAAAGAGGGAAAAAACAAGCAACACAAAAGGACATCCAAACCTCTGTGAACCAGCTCAAGCTCTTCACTTAACTGTATGGCTTGACTGTAGAGCATGTATATGGTATGTTTTCTTTTTTGATGTCATTGAAAATATAATATGTGGCACAAGGGATAAACTGAAAAGATCTTTCTCATTTTGCACGTTTAATACAAGACTAAAGGCAAACCATTTGATGTTTTTTGCCCTTTTTGTAATTTACTGTTACTTTATCAGGCATGAACGTTATTCTTTTGGAATGTGGAATGGAAATCTGAGCCCCTGAACTCAATAAATTTCAACATGACTCTTGTTTTGTTTAATCTTCCCTTTTTTTTTATTTAACCAAGAAATCTCCTGACAACATAAAGAGAGCATTAAAATGGACCCATTAAAACTTCTCTGCTTTTTTCCGACAGGGACCAGAAACATTGTGACCTCAGCAACTGTCTGCTAAAATGCCAAGTGTCTCTGTCCTTAAATGTGTTTGTTTTTTCCTCCAGTATATTCTTTAGTCAAATTTGAAAGTACTACTGTAAACACAGTCATTGGATATTATTATCAACGTTTACCCCTCTTCAGCCAATCCATGCATCAATAGGACATTTTAACTGTTATACTGACTTCAGACCAGTGGTACTCAGACTTGTTAGAGCCACATTGACCAAAAAAATTTATTCAAGAGCCACAATCAAAAAACCTCTTTCTTTCCTGAAATGTGTGTGGGAAACACAGTGACATGACTTGCGAAGAATAAGTTCTGCTGACAATGTTTACCTCATTTAAATACCGGTAATTACTTACTTTTTTTCTCCAAGTAGGACCTAAAAGAGCCACAACTAGTCCCAAATGAGCCACATGTGGCTCAAGAGCCTCAGGTTGAGTATCACTGCCTTACAAGTGTTGTGTCATCACACCAGAAAGAAAATATTCTTAAGAAGAAAAGAATAGCTTTGAAAATCTTAAACATGACTTAAGTATTAAAATGTTCAGTTCCAATGTAGAGTTGCACACCTGTTAGATGAAGAAGTAAAACCGGCATTTTAAAGATAAGAGTAAAGAGTTTGGAGGAATCTGACAGCTTGTGGTCAACACTACTTCAGAAGGTCAAGGTTTTATTCTTACTTTTTATATTCAGGTCTAATTAGAGATTTTTTCCTCAACTGTTTATAGGTTCTTGTTTAAATTGCACATATATTTTTATCCCTGCACGGGTTATGTACATTTCTTGTATAAGTATATTTTTAATTGCACAGTTTTAGTTTGTTTCATTTAGGGGTATTCTTTAAATCTTTTTTCAGGTTAATATATATGTATGGGGGGGGGGGGGGGCGTCGGTTTTTGTGGTTTAATTTGTAACAAATGTTTCATGTCATGTATGTCTTTGTAACCTGCTACTGGATGCTTTGAATTTCCCTCTGGATCAATAAAGTATCTATCTATCTATCTATGTATCTATCTATCTATCTATGTATCTATCTATCTATGTATCTATAGAATACAGTCTTGACAGTTTCGGGTGAGAACTTCAACAATCCCACCACATGGTGGCAATACTGAGACAGGGGTAGAAATAGACCAATCAGGAACGCTGCATGACTGACGTCAACCAGAACAGCCAATGGGCGTGCGGTTGAGCGGATTGCGGTTTCCTCCGTTTGAGTTTGAATTTTGAAGGAGCTCAACCCAAACAGAGATAAAGGAGCATCGCGCCCAAAGTAAGATATTTAATTAAGTCCTTACTTATTGTACTTTCATCCAAGCTGTAAGTAAACAGTGGTAAAAATGGTCGTCTTAATTTACATTTAGTCCTTTCCAGCCGATGAGCTTCATTGATTTCAACGTTAAATCGATATTAACGTTTTGCTCTGTAACATTGTTGTCACGTTATTTCCATGTAAACTTTCAACGCTAACATGACATTTAAGTTTTACTTGTTTTAATCAACATGTAACCAGCATTTATATCTAAATAGTTTGTTTATTAAGAGTTAATTCGCTAAAGAAACTGGAAACATTAACATTGGTTTACGTTATGTTAGCTACGTAGCTTCCTGTGTTTGTTAACTTCAACATGCTCGTTTGTTAGTAAAGAAGAAAACCTCTCCTTGTTTACGACTCTATAAACTATGTGATGCTTTGACGTCATAACAAGTGAGAAAACTGGTTTAATTGTGGTTTTATTGTTGCATACAGTTGCTTCCTTGTCTGTGAAATGTTCTCCATATACTTAGGTTAGGAGAGAAGTTCATTGAAGCTTCAATTTCTCTTTTTCTCTTCACTGTTTTGGTTTATTTGAAAAGTAAACATTTGTTTTTACTACGTAGATATCATTATGTTTCATTGAATTGGTCCCCCGATTACTTAGTGTAATATTGAGCTTTTGGGTTCAGACTACTTTGCCCCTGATTCAGTGGATGTTTTTGTTCAGGCAGGTTGTAACCATGAGCTGGGCGGTGGAGGAGTGGAAAGATGGACTTCCAGGGAAAGCCCTGCAGAAGATCCAGGAGATGGAGGTCCAGCTGGACAAACTAAAGAAGGAAAGGTCACAGAAACAGTTTCAGATGGACTCTTTAGAGGCCGCCCTGCAAAAGCAGAAACAAAAGGTTGGTGTCTATTTGTCTAGAATATTTAATGATTCAGATAAACAAACCTGTATTTACTCTCTTGGGGAGAAGCCACATGTTGGCAAAACAAGTTGTAGAAATCCACCTGTTAATCATTTGTTTGTTTTTTTCCCCAGTCGGACAATGAACGCAGCGAAACCTCTGCTTTGAAAAGAGAGAACCAGTCACTCCTAGAGTCCTGTGACTCTGTGGAGAAAGCTCGTCAGAAGGCATGCCATGACCTGGGAGTCAAAGAACAGCAGGTTAGTTTATTGGAGATCAAATGAAATATCTGCTGCTATTAAATGTGAAATGAACATCCAACCAGGGTAAAAATAATCAATCACAGATAATCTACAGCAGATATTTATGTGTCAGACAAAATATACTGTAAAGTATCTCTCAGCCATTTTTGTATCTATGGGTTATAATAGGTGTTATGTTTCACAATAATTGCAGAGCATCTCTGTGTCACATACTTTGAGCTGTTTTTTGGACAACAAACAAGTTTCCGCTCATAATCAACCAATCCAACAAGAAAAAAGAAAGATTTTCCTATTTGGGGACGTTTTTTTTACTTTTTCTTTGACCTTGACTAAACTATTTCCTAAACCTAGGTGAGCTACCTAGACGGTCAGCTAAACTCCTGCAGGAAGACTATTGAACGACTGGAGCAGGAGCTGAAGAAGTGAGTTCACTGTCTGTTTATACATATTTAAGCGAGTAGAGAGGATGGATTGTTGACGTTGTCTTTGCTGTTTTTGCTGCTCAGATACAAAAGTGAACTGGATCGTTCTGCTGGCTCTTCCTCCTTGTCATCATCCTCCTCTGACATTCAGTCTTACACCACTCCACAGAAAAGTTTTACTACCCCCGCTCCTGTCCCGGCCTATAGACAGCAGGGTATTTCAGCTCTTTTTTTAACCATCATTGTCTTGTACTGCATTTATTTGATCAATTTATGTGAGTGGAGTTGACCTCTTATCATGTTTCGTCACCTCTGTGTTTTGGATTTGCAGCTACATACTTAGCTGTCAGTCTTGCATATTGTCAATGTTAGGGCTTCTGTTGCCCAGGAGCAATTCCTGGGGGAGCCAACAATATTATGTATCAAAGGGACGGGTGGTTGTGACCCTTCACCCTAAAAAGGTGTTTTTCTTCCTTAGACAACAGACTAGAGGAGCTTCAGCAGAAATACAGCCAGGAGGTGGAAGAAAGGCAAAGACTAGAGACCGAGCTGAAAGTTCTACAGGTCAAAGTGAGTACATCCTTTTTTATATAAATGTCTTACCTGTGATTGTTTCTTCCTGGTTGACGATCTTAACTTGTCTCTACTTCTCTTCTAGCTGTTGAATCAGTCCTCAGTCAGTGTTGGCCACAAGGACATCGCTGCTCGCCAAGCTGGGTCTTCCATATTCCCATGGCAACAAAAGGATCAGGGCCATGGTCGCCTGGCTCTGGATTTTATTGAAACACCTCTAAAAAGGCGGGGGGCCTCCATGTGGGACACTCACGAGGAGACACCCATTAAAAGTAGCCAGCAGATGAGCTCTTCAATGGTGGCACAAAGTCCCAGTGGCTCCTCCCATCAGACAGAGCAGCTGAGGACCATAAACCAAGGTGAACTGCTTTGTATTTGTTCATAGTGTCTTATACTATTGTTAGGCTCCAGTTGAATGAGACATCCTGAACATGTCCAGCAGCAGGGCTTTAGTTTGTACTGTGCCTTCATCAGAGCTGCGGGGCCGTGTGACGGAGCTGGAGAGGAATCTGTCCACTCAGGAAAAGGAAATTCGTAACCAAGCCTCCAAGCTGCAGGAACTACAGACACAACTGAACCAGGCCCGCAAGGAGCTGACCGAGCGGGACCGAGACCTGGCCAAGTCCAGCCATGAGCTGAGTCAGGCTACAGACAGACACCAGCAGGCTGTTTCCAAGGTAGGCTGCCGTGTGTCTATTCTGCCTGTTAACTGATTTTATACTACCAAAAAACTAGCACAAAGAAAAGTAGAAATCACGACAATGTCTGACAAAGAGTCTTCATTTTGTCCTCAGTGTTCGTCCGTTGAGCAGAAGCTGAAACAAGTGACGGAGGAGATGAACTGTCAGAGACACAACGCTGAGAGCTGCAGACGAGCCCTGGAGCAGAAACTCAAGGACCAAGAGAGAGACAGTCAAAAGGTCTCACTTGCTGGACCTTTATTCTTACTTTTATCAAACATTGTAAATAAAATGCCATTTTAATCAAAAAGATGTTGTGCCTTGTGTAGGAGCTTGCCCAGCTGCAGAGTTCTCACCAGGCTTTGGACCAGCAGCTGAACCAGACCAGAACCAAGCTGACACAAGAGCTCCAACAGTCCAAAAAAGAACACAACGTGGTGCAGGCAGACATGGAGAAGGTAACTTTAAAACATCTCAGTCAAACTCTTTATTGCTCAGCCTCATGTACTTACTTCTCTTTTATATCAACTAGCTCGCCTTGTGTTCAATTTTCATTGTTTTTAGTTTTTAATGCGTTTCTGTTATCTGTACCTTGATGCTACTGTTACTGTAAATGGACATATTGATCAGAGGCTGGCTTTTCAATGTCAGGTGGATGGAATATACCGCAAGACATGGTTGCCAGCTTGATGCCTTTACCGTGTTTTCTTGTGCACTATGACCACTTTTCAGTTTGCATGAAATGGTAAACTGCTCGCAATGTTTAAAACACTGATATTTATCTGGTAGATGTTGTTTGATTGATGATTGAGTGTTGCAGTTCAGGAGTAAAATCCAGCTGTCTGCATCACCTTTCTCTAACTGGGTCAATGGCCGCTTTTGTTTGTAAAATTTGTTCCAAAAATGTCTGTCTTCGTTTGTGCATCTTTCTTCTCTTCATAACTCTTTTCTCCTCTTGCTCCTCCCCAGATGAACTTCCAGAGGAGTCAGATGGAGAGGGCAGTGGAGGAGCAGAAACAGAAACTTCTGAGGTCAGAGCAAAGCCTCCAGGCCAGCCAGACCAAAGAGCAGGACCTCCGCAAGAAAATGGAGGTCAGTTGATTTTAGTGAAAATATATTTAATTAAGTATAAAATAAAAACAAACTATGTTTATAATCTCAACATTGGGAGCATATCTTCCCCATTCAACCTTTTGTTAATTTTATATACATTCCATAGCACTCTTTTCTCTACATGGTCTCACTCGTGTGTGTCTTTTCTCTATCTAGGAGCTGCAGAAAGAGAAGAACAGTTTGACTGTCCAGTTGGACCAGAGCAGCAGGCGTCTGAGTCAGCTGGAGGACGAGAAGAAGAGCGTAGACCAGAGCTTCAAACGCACCCAGGGGTTGCTGGATGACCTCAAAGGTAAATTATTACAATTATTACAATAATAGCACAAGATGGATCACAACGATCTGATGTGATCCCAGTTTACTTTAAAAAAATATATATAATTAGTTTGTCTTTTTATCTTCAGCAAAATCAGAAGGACAGGCAGAGGAGCTGAAGAAACTTCAGACCAAACTGGAGCAGCAGACCCAGGCCTCAGTCAGGGACCTGGAAAACCTGAAGAAGACGCTCTCTGATGCAGAGACCAAACATGACAGGTAAAAAGAGTTTCTACAGTAGACTGAAAAAATGTTCAGTCACACCTTGTGTGAAGAGAGTAAGGAATCTTATATATGTGGTAATTAACTTGCTCTTTAATTATTGTAAACATTCCTTGTATTTTTATCGTAGGTCTCAGAACGAACTGCAGAAACAGAAGACGGAGACAGAGAGGCTTACCAACAAATTGACTGTCCTCGAGAAGGAAACTCAAGATCTAAAATCGAACCTCACTGCGAGTCAGAGTGAGTGTAAGGACCTGAAGCTAGAACATCAAAGTCTGCTTGAGTGGAAGAAGGAAAAGGAGACGTTGATTAATGAAACTGAAGCTGTGCAGAAAGACTTCACCGACAAAATTGGAAACTTGGAGAACAGTGTCACCTTGCTGAATGAGGCTAATGATGGACTTAAGGTAAGGCGGAAGTTATGCATTAGGAAAGACATGAAACTCTTCTTATTTAAATCAATATGAAATGATGTCTGTTACATTAACACAGGGGCACGCATGCTTAAAAGCTCCTAACCTTAACCCTTTAAGATTTGAGGTCAACTTTAATAATGATTACATAGACAACAAATAATTGATTTTCTATTGGATCTTTTTGTCCAGATGTTCCATGATGTGTTTTAATCTCATTGTTTCCCTTCTTTTGGTTGGATGCCAAACATTTTTTTTCATGTTTAATGTGTTTGACTTTCTTCTCGTGTTTCTTTCATCTTTACATTACTTGAACCCTCACCTAAAATACACCTCTTACTATTGTAGAAGCAGGTCACGAGTGTGGAGGGAGACAAGGCCCGTCTGTCCGATCACATCGACTCTTTGAAGGGAGAACTCCTCAACAAGAGCACAGAGCTGGAGGAGAGGGAGCATCAGTACCAGGAGCTCCAGTCGAAATTATCAGAGGCTGGAAATAAACACAGCAAAGATCTGGAGAATGTTGGTGTGCAAGTGACTCAGCTTGAAGCTCAGGTGACCTATTTGATGTGTTTCCTGTGTCACTTGTGTTGGGGATTAAATTAGATTTTATGAACTAAAATATTTCAGTTTAATAGTCCATAATGCCCTCGTGGCAAAAACTAACAACGGGAGAGTTGATGTATATCAAGGTCTTAGAGGATTCAAAATGTTAAATTGTTGAATGTAAAAAGAGGAAACCTGTCTCTTTGAATTGTTTTGGACATTTACATTCTGATCTTAGTCTCACTAACAGTGCAGGATAACATTTTAGTATCTGACTGAACCTAAAGAAATATGATTGTTAGCTGATGTTTATATTTAATTCTTGTTTGGCTTAATGTCGTCTCTGTTATCTGAGCAGGTCAAAGATCTGGAGTCACGTTTGCAAAAAGAAACGACTCGAGTAGAGCAGGCTGAGCAGACAAACAAGGAGCTGCAGGACGAGCACCAGGCAGCCTGTGACCTGGCTCGCTCCAAAGACCAGCTGCTCGAACTGGGCCAAGCAGAGATCAGCCAGCTGAGAGAGAGCCTGACTCAAACCACCGCACAGCAGGAGGAGCAAAACACCAGGTGAAGTTTTATTCATTTTAAGGAACTTGTTTTTCTCCCCAGTTGAACAGCCCTGCAATAAGTCCTACCTATACTTTATAACGTTAAGTTTATTTCACGCTGTGTATGAGAGATGTTGATTCCACCCTTCGTTATTTTGCAACATGAGACTGCAGGGTTGAAGAGGAAAGTAAATTTCCTCTGCCATTGCTGTTGAATCTCTCCAGGTTGACCAAGGAGAAGGCAGCCCTGATGAAGCAGTGTGAGGAAAATGTTTCAGCAAGGATGGAGGAGGCCGAGCAGCTCAGACTGAAGTTGGAGGAGACTCAGCAAGATCTACAACTCACCAAAAATCAGGTCTTTTCAACTGGACTGCTTAGAATCCCTTCAAACAGATTGAAAAATACTTCTTTAATTTAATAGTAGAAGTAACATTATGTTTTCATATTTCATCATTTTGTTTGTAGTTGTTTTAATCTACTCTGGTGACATTAAAACATAATAAGCCTTTGTCTGAGCCAATAAAAGCCATCATTTAAAACTCTGTTTACATTTCAGGTCAGTTCTATGGATCAGTTCATGAAGGTCCAGGAGCAGCTTGGAGCTGAGCTGCAGAAACAGATTAAGACACTGTCCCAAAATGTAGAGGAACACAAGAACATGAACGAGA